CTTGGAAGTTACATCAGAATATCAATGTACTCTGGCTCTGTTTTCTTCCAAGCCTAAGCTGCTCTCTAAGTAGGAAAGGGGCTGGGCCTTCCCTTTTCAGGGCACTAGAATACCACTTAGTACCGCTGGCCTCTGAAGCTCTACTTAGATCCATGACAATTCATGTATAGGAGCACCATTCAGGCTGCTTCAGTACGTGAGAGGTACCTCGCCTAATGTGTGTAGGTGCTTTCCTTATCAGTTAGTTACTCTGATCATTGCACCCCCAGGGCTCTGTGTAGGTGCTGAAGGGAAGTGAGCCTCAATATCACTGATTCGGTCCTTCCTGACCATCTCCACACCCACATCCACACAGACTAGAACTTTGCTGAACTTTAAACATTTGGTTTAATCTGTTTACCTCTTCATGTAGGACAACATGGGTGTCCTAGCTGGGTGTCAGATGCCATTATCATAAAGACTTGGATTCTGAAGATGGTTTTGTAGTTTTAGTTATTTTGGATGTAAGTCTCCATATTCTTACTCTGCTCAGGTTGGTTGTGGATGATTCAAAATTCATTGTGGAGCACTGTCATCTCTTGGATTTATTTGAAACTAATATGTTGGCTAATACTCATTTATGTATGTTTTCTAGTACAAGTTATCAGTGTTCTTGACATGCGGTGGATGGTCCAGGTTTTCTTGTGTGAAAAAAGGAGCTTCATTTAGAGTTTTTTCTGAGTTTGACTTGCTTTGCTTGTTTATCCTGTATTCAGCAGGTCATAGTAGATTTTAGTTTTGAGTTAATTTGGAAAGATACTCAAGTTTTAGTATCGATGGACACCTTGTACTCAGGTATGATTGATAAGTTTCATCAGTGAATTAGTGGCTTCATCCCATGTTGTAAAGTAAAATTTAAGGTCTTGCCTGTGTGATACTATGTATTTTATTCTCTTGGCAGTGTAAGAGCAGTCTTTCAGAGATGGGTTCAGAAGAATCCGTGAACCTGCAGAGTTTTAACTGGCTTTTGTCTTTTTTGCTCCAAGTGATACCTTCAATATCAGCTCTTTGGACTCTGGTGAATCTTTATATTATTGCGTCCTTTATTAGGCCTTGGCCTTCAGTGCTTGCTTTAGAGCCACTGCTTTAGGCCCAGTGAGTGGGTCATGCTTATTCGCAGTGGGTGTGAAGTTGTGTATAGAGCTGTGCAACACGCAGAGTTTCTTGCTGTGATTTTGCTTCTGAAAGTTGAACTGTGAAGTCTACTTTTGACGGCTGGAAGTGTGACTATTTGGTCTTCGTCTGTTTGTGTCATAATCTATTTTTGAGATTGTAAATATTATTCTACTTTCATATCATATATTGAGCCATGTATGTTAGTGCTTCTTTAGATTTTTTTTTAAACAAGTGATTTGCTTTTGGTAATGTTAGAGTTGATTTTTACAGTTAAAATACCTTCAGTTCTGTTTATCAAGACCTTATGAAGAAATGAAAGGCTGGGCATGGAATGGAAGAAGATATTTGCAATGCATAAAACCAATAAAGGGCTTTATATATCCAGAATATATAAGGAACTTCTACATAGCAGTAAGAAAAAGACAGAGAGCCCATTTTAAAAGTGGACAAATAATGTGAATAGGCACTTACCAAAGGAAGATACCATTGTTACCAGTAAATTATAAAAAAAACTGCTCAGCCTCATTAGTTATCAGGAGATGTGAATTCAACCACATCACAACTAGACTGACTGAAATTAAAAAACTAAGAACACAAGTGTTGGGCATGGAGTTGAAACAACAGGAACTTTCATACGCTGCTGACAAAGTGTAAACTGGTGCAAGCATGGTGGAAAGCTTGTTGGCAGTATGTGCTGAGGTTGATCATACTGTGTGCTCCTTGATGTGTAACCAACAAGTGCGTGTGTGAAAGACACACTGAGAATGTGTACAGAGCATTATTTGTAACAGCCAGAAACTGGACACTATCCCAGTGTGCGTCAGTCATAGAGCGGATAAACCGTTTGTGGTATGTCTGTGTGGAGCATTCCCTGAGCAGACTCCCCTGTCGCTTTGTTACCCAGGGTGTGGTCCATGGAGCACCTGCTTCTGTGGACACCTGAGGACATTACCTGCCAGTGCAGCAGGTTAGACACACTGAATCAGTCTGCAGTGTAACATGATCCCCAGGTGTTCAGTGAAGGCTGCGCAGGGCCTCTCCAGTTGTGGTTCTTGAGACTGGTCCTGGACCAGCAGCATTAGCATCGCCTGGGAACTGGTGAGACATGCAAATTCTCAGGCTCCACCCCAGGCTCAGAAGCTCTGGAGGTGGGACCCCGCAGTCTGTTTTAACGAGCTGCCCGAGTGATGTGGATGCAAAGTGAAGTTTCAGAACCTGCTTAGAAGTTACATTTCTAACAAGTTCACAGGTGATACAAATCAGGAAGCACTCTGATACCCACCGCTGGTAGGGTTAGGGTTAGGCAAACCTGTAAAAGTCGGGATAGTCAGATTGTAGGTTTCTCAGGCCATGTGGTCTTTATCACAACTGCAGTTCCGCTGTGGTACAGTAAAAACAGCCAGCATGTAAGGAATGGGCATGAGTGTTGACCAGTAAAACTTGATGTACAGATAGAGCCTGTGGGCTGGGTTTGGCTCCTGTACTTCGGGGATCCCTGCCATATAGTAAGCAAGTAAATTTTGACCACAAACACACTAAAAGGTGTGTACAAAAAGTATATACTACATGATTCCAGTATTCAGAGTTCAAAACCACGTAGAAGAAGCCTTCGCTCTTCAAAGTCATGAACTGGCTTGGGCTGGCAAGGGGTTATGACCTGGGGGCCGCCTTCTGGAGTGCTCATAATGTTTTGATTCTTGATCTACATAAGAAATGACGAGGAGAGGGTATAGCTCAAGTGGTAGAGGGCATGCTTAGCATGCACAAGGTCCAGGGTTCTATCCCCAGAACCACCTCTAAAAATAAACTTAATTATCCCTCCCTCCACAAAAACTTAGGGAAAAAAAAGAAAATCATGCACCCTCCCAGAATAAAATTTGAACCTGATAGTAACTAATTTAAAACATTTAAAAATATTAAAATAAGTAGGTATATTATGGAAAGTTTGAAATATGTATGAATTTTTGAAAATAAGTTTCTCAGAGTCAGGCTTCTAGGGTAGTGAGATTGTTCTGTTGTCTGGAGTCTTTTGGATAAATTCGAGAAGCATTAGGATTTATAAAGGTATAGGGTATTTCCTTAGTCTTTTTAAAAAAAGAAAAAGAAAAAAAGTCTCAGCCTCCAGAACTATGAGAAATAAATATTTGTTGTTTAAGCCAAAGGAAAAAAAATTAAAGCTTTTATCGCCTAAATTCTGGTTGTAGTGGCTTTGAGTGAATGTGTATCCCATCTCTGTGTTTCTTTTCATTGATCCATTAATTGGATTCTTCCTTGAGTTTTTCTGTCTTGATTTGGTCTGTCTTAGTATGTCCATGCCTTTTCCTCTTTCTGCGGAGGGTGCTCATTTACAACCCTCTGTTGATTGTCAGTTGTATTAACAGTTATCCTGGATGCTTCCTTTAGGGCTCCAGTTTTCAACCCCCCTGGTCTCAGGATCTGTTTAGTCTTAAAAATTGAGGACCCTGAAGAGCTTTTGTTTAGAAGGATATCTGTCAATACTTATCCTATTAGAAGTTAATGCTGAGAAATTAAAAAATAGTTTTTATTAATTCACCTAAAGATAACAGTGATAAATCCATTATGTGTTAACACGTGTAGCAATTTTATGAAGCATAGCTGTTTTCCAAGATAAAAAAGCTTGTGAGAATATCATCATTTTTCATTTACTACACACCGCTCTAATGTCTGGTTTAAGAGATAGCTGGGTTCTCATCTACTTCTGTGTTCAGTCTTCGTGAGTTTTGTCTCAGCTAAGTATATGAAGAAAATAAGGCTTTTGCACAGATGCGTAGTTGGAAAAAGGTGTATTTTATAGCCTTTCAGATTGTTGTAGATATTGTTTTACACCGAAACACTAGTGGCGAGTTTTTTAAAAAATTAATTGCAGTATGTGCACATCAGTGAACAATTCATATTTTGTTATATTAAAATCCATTAATCTAGCTTGCACTTTGAATTCCTCTCTCCCCGCCCCCCGCATGATTTTGTAACATCATTGGTCACTTGGAAAGTATTGGTTTAGTAACGCAGAGCTTCTGAACTGGTGACACATTTCATTATGCAATATCAGAAACTCAGATCTGTTAGTATCATCACTGATGTCTGAAAAGTCCTTTAAGTATTGGGGATCTGACATGCCTGTGGTGTTGGATGTAAGTTTTCCAAAATACAAATTTTCATTCAGAATTTTGACTTTTCATTTTTGGCAGCAAATACTGTCTGTTGTTTTCATTGACATTCAGTTTTGGGAAACTGCCAAATACCGAAGCCTGAGTAATCACAGTTTGTCAGTCAGTTCTTTTTTCAAGTAAAAATGATGATCCATGAAAAAAGTAGCTAGTTTAGCTTACGGATCAGTTGCACGAAAGGCTTTTCTTGAGCCAGAGTTGCCTTGTGTTACGTCCCATTTTGCTACACAGGATACGTAAAAGATGAGTGTTCAAGGGTGTATGTTTAACAGAGGTGGTTTTTAATGCTTCATCAAGGACAGTCTTAAGTGAAATTGGCCTGTTTTTTCAAACTGTGAGTGCTTGGTGGTGAAGAATATAATGACTGGTGCGATTAGAGCCTCTGCCTTCATTTGTTTTATCCACCATGGATCTTGCATCATCACTGAAAAAAGTAAATAATGTCTTAGTGTTACTATGAAGATAGTTTTAACTTTGGGAACCACAGACCACTCTGAACCCTGGTTCCTTTAGGGCTTTGTCTTTACAATTATGTCATATATTGCATAAGAATTAATTACTAAAAGAATGCTTAATGACAGGCCTTTGTGTGTGTGTGTGTGTGTGTGTGTTTTAATTATGTATCTGTTTGAAATAGCTGTAGCACTTTCTTTGAAGATACTTGTGCTTTCCCTGTAGGAATGTATCCTGTCGGGGATAATGTCGGTGAATGGAAAGAAAGTTCTTCACATGGATAGAAACCCATATTACGGAGGAGAAAGTGCATCTATAACGCCGCTGGAAGATGTAAGTGTTAGAATAAGTTAATGTGCCTTTTATCCTTTGAGTCTTTTACTTGTGAATCTCAACTTTACTTTTTATAGATGGTTTTCATTTTGTTTTATTAAATAGATGATCTGTAGCATCGTAGTTTTCAGGAGCTCCTCGTTTGGGGCTTTTAGAAATTTAAACGGTGGCGTCTGTAGCTGTCTGGCGCAGTTGTCTGCTCTCTCTCGAAGTTCGTAGAGTGTACGCTGGGCAGGGTGCATAGAGGGTACCTTATGATGCAGACTAACTTGCCCCAGGCACATGCCAGTGCTTTCCACGCGGTCTCAGTTACCTTCCCTGTCACTCAGAGATTTTCTCCTATTTTTCAGAGGACAGAGTAGTCTGTGGGGGTAAGATCACAGGGATGGGCTGTGAGCCCAGGTTAAGACTGCAAAACTTAGTTCCTTTTGGTAGCCTCCCTGCTTCCTGCCTTTTCAAAGAACATGGGCACGTGAGGCATTTCCAGAGTATGTTTTACCAGGCACATTCGCTTCTCTGACGTTTGTTCAGCATCATGTGCATGAATCTGAGCTGTACTGTGCCTTCTGGGAGATAGATATCAGTTACTTTTTAAATAGTGACTTAAGTTAACTTAACGTTTATATCAAAAAGGTTTTTTTTTCTATATTTAGGCGTACAGGACAATATGTATGGAAAGAAGAATACCAGGAAAGAACAGTATCAGTGGATTTTTTTTTGTTCCATGTCTATCTGTCTTCATGTCCGTTGAAAATAACAGACATGATACTTGACCTAAATAGTTCATTCCCCTGCTAAGAACAGTGTTTTCCTACGTAATTTTAATACCATTTCACAAGTAAGAAAATTAACCCTAATATCCAGACCCTATTCAGACTCCCCAGTATCCCAAGAACGCCAGATACTGCTGTGTGGCAGTGGTTTGTTTTGTTTCGTTTATTTAAGTTAGTTTAAGCATTGCCTTTCGTGTTGTTTCCCTTTATTCTCTTAATCTGCGAACATCTCCACTTCCTTTCTTTTGGGAGGTCTGGGCGGATTTATAGACGGCACTGCTGGGCACTTCATGCTGCCTCACACCGTGCTGCTGGCTGTAGCTTCGCTGGGCACGGCGCTCGGTCTGACCTGGTTAAAGTGATGGCCCCCCAGCTTGTCACCCTAAATCATCTGTGGAGCGATGTGCTGGCACCATTCCTCCCTCACCGAGTGCATTTATGTATTAGCTCCTCGTCAGTAAGAGGAGCAAGCTGTATGCTTTCTTTTTTAACGTAGTCAAGAACTTGAGGTTTTTGAGTAAATATAGTCTGTTCCACCTTGGCAATAGAATTCATGAGTTTGAATGAGTATTCTAAAATTTTAAGCTGCAAGCTTTTTTATCTAGAGCTTCAAACTCATGTAAGTTATAAATTAACTGGAACTTACTTGATTTGATTTTTTATTGAAGTATAGTTGATTTACAATGTTATGTTAGTTTCAGGTGTACAGCAAAGTGATTCAGTTATACATACATATGTATATACTTTTTTGGATTTTTGCCATTATAACTTGTTTTAAGATATTGAATATACTTCCTAGTATTATATAATAGGTCCTTGTTTGTCTGTTTTATATATTATATATGTTAATGCTAAACTTCTAATTTATCCCTCCCTCCACCTCTCCCTGTTAGGTAACCATAGTGTTCTGTGGCTGTGAGTGTATTTCTGTTTTGTAAATAAGTTCATTTGTATCATTTTTTTTAAGATTCCACATATAAGTGATAAAATTTTGATATTTGTCTTTCTCTGAGTTCACCTAATATGATAATCTCTAGGTCCATCCATGTTGCTGAAAATGGTCTTACTGAATTCTTTTTTATGGTTGAGTAACATTCCTGTGTGTGTGTGTGTGTACGTACACACCACGTCTTCTTTATCCAGTCATCTGTCGATGGACATTTAGGATGCTTCCATGTCTTGGCTGTTGTATATAGTGCATCTGTGAACACTGGGGTGCATGTATCTTTTCAAGTTAGAATTTTCTCGGGATATATGCCCAGGAGTGGGATTGCTGGATCATAGGATAACTTTAAGTTTTATAAGGAACCTTTATACTCTTCTCCACAGTGGCTGCACCAGTTTACATTAACACCAAAAGTGTAGGAAGGTACCCTTTTCTCCACACCCTCTCCAGCAGTTGTTATTCGTAGACTGTTTAATCATGGCCGTTCTGACTGGTGTGAGGTCACACCTCACTATTATTCTGATTTGCATTCCCCTAATACTTAGCAATGCTGAGCATCTTTTCATGTGCTTATTGGCCATCTGTATGTCTTCTTTGGAGAGATGTCTGTTTAGGTCTCCTGCCCATTTTTTGATTGGGTTTTTTTGGACATTAAGCTATTTGTATCTTTTGGAAATTAATCCCTTGTTGGTTGCATCATTTGCAAATATTTTCTCCTGTTCTGTAGTTTGTCCTTTTGTTTATGGTTTCCTTTGCTGTGCAAAAGCTTTTAGGTCCCATTTGTTTATTTTTCTTTTATTTCCATTACTGTGGGAGATGGATCCAAAAAAAATATTCCTGTGGTTTCTGGCAAAGTGTTTTGCCTTTGTTTTCCTCTAGAAGTTTTATAGTATCCGGTCTTCAGTCCATTTCGAGTTTATTTCTGTATATGGTGTTAGAGAATGTCCTGTTCTCATCCTTTTGCAGGTAGCTGTCCAGTTTTCCCAGCACCACTTGTTGAAGAGACCGTCTCTTCTCCGTTATGTGTTCTTGCCTCCTTGGTTGTGGGTTAACTGCCCACAAGTGCGTGGGTTTGTTTCTGGGCTTTCTGTCCTGTTCATTGAGCTGTGTCTGTTTTTGTTAACTGGCACTAATTTTAGTTGTTGTTTTTCTGATTTGAAGAATCTAAAATTTATTTTCAACTCCCTGCATAATTATAGAAGCAAAATTAAGCTTTTGTTAGCTTTTTATTCAGGAGAGAATGAGTTTAAATGATTTCTACAAATACTAAGGGGTGTATCTGCAGAAGTCGTATCTCACTGTCTGTGCTTTTGCTTTTCCACTAGTAAGAAAGCACACGCCACCTCTGCAGTATTTATTTCCGCATCCACGAGCTTAGTCATACATCTGACTTACAAGTGTATTGGGACTTTGCTAAATATTCTGACTAAAAATGAAATGAACTTGTTATTCTCTACCTCACATTGGTGATATTTTGTTCTACCAAAACCACTTCATCAAAAAAATAGTTGCATAGTATAATGAAAATTAAATTTTGCTTTGGTTTTAGTTATACAAAAGATTTAAGATACCTGGAGCGCCACCAGCGTCAATGGGGAGAGGAAGAGACTGGAATGTCGACTTAATTCCCAAGTTCCTTATGGCTAACGGTAAAGAGTGCTCCCTTAAACTTAATGACAGTACATTGAGTCTGACTTAAATGTAGAAACTGGCTCGTGACAGAGAGTCTCAGTTCGGGTGTGTGGAAGTGGATCTTGTTGAATGGCGGCAGTATGGTGAGTAAGAGGTCCGCAGAGGTGTCCACAGTCAGTGAAGAATGGAGGGAAGTGGGGACAGAAGCCTTTCATGCGGTTGTATTGGTCGACCTTCCTTTCACTGTTTTGATTTGGAAGGATATGCTTAAAATTTTCTCTACCTCAAGGTTATAAAAACAGTATTTTCTTTTAATGGTGTTATAGTTTCATTTTTTCACCTTACACATAAATTCTTCTGTTTTTCCATGTAAGTAAGTTTGGTTTTTTACCTGTCTGAGAAGTAGAGATAGGAATTTACTTTTTCAAAATAATTGTTTTTCAACACCATTTATCTTTTCCACTTTGATTAGAAAATTTTCATTATATATTTAATTCTTACACATGGGTCTCTATTTTTCACTGGTTTATGGATGAATTAATATACGAGGTACTGAAACGCCTGAATGCATAAAACTCTCTTCATCTTGTTCTCAAGAAATAATTTTTTCTTGATTGTCGTAGTATGTTTTTCCTTGCAAATGAGCTTTAACATAATTTGGTTTCTCTAAGAAGTTTACTGTTTTTAGCATACCAAAATTTCTTTAGTTTAGCCTAGCTTTTTCTCAATCCAAAATTATTGGCCATTTTAATAAATTTAAATAAATTAGAAACTCAAGAGCACCAACTACTGTAGGATTTTGCCTATCAGTTGCCCCTCTTTAAAATATGACAGGAACTTTAAAGAAACCCAAACCCGTTTGCAATAGTATTGCAATTCTAAGCCTCATACCCCTCATAATTACTGTATAACTTCTACAAAAGCAGTTTGATAGGGTTATTAACCTTGAAGTCGTAACATTAAAAAAGGATCTAACTGTGCTGAGCAGTAGGTGTGCACCTTGATTGTCCTACTTAAAATACGGCCTTGGAGAGTTTTGTAGGAGTTCCTGGACAGTGTTAAGAAAATACTGGAAAGCTGTTAGTATTAGTAAATGTACTTCTATTTCTGCTCATTTTTGAAGGCAGTAAGATGTAATTCACAGTATGAATGATGTGACTCTTACAGGTCAGCTGGTTAAGATGCTGCTTTTTACAGAGGTCACTCGCTATCTGGATTTCAAAGTGACTGAAGGGAGTTTTGTCTATAAGGGAGGAAAAATCTACAAGGTTCCTTCCACTGAAGCAGAAGCCCTGGCATCTAGTAAGTAACTTTATTTTATTTTCGCAGAATATTGAGATTGTATAATGGAAAGGGATTTTAGAGATAAAATTTAAGGTCCCCGGTGTCAGCCAGCCACCCACTCTTCCAGTCAGTGAAGACTTACTGGGTGTCTGTCACGTGCCAGACCGCGTCCTAGCGGTGGAGACTGCATCAGTAAGCAGGAAGTTCAGAATTCTGCCCTCTGGAGCCAGGAGAGGGTTTACACCGGGGGCTTGTTGCCGGTGAATCCCAGCCTCCCGATCTCATGGCGCTTTGTCTGTCCATAGTAATGGTTCACAAGAACCATCGGTTTTGGAGTGTTTCCTCCATGCTAGGCGATGTGGGAGCCGCGTCACACCTGCTCTCTTACTTGACGTGTGAAGCCCTCTGTGGGGCAGGGGTTCTGTTGTACAGATGAGGATGCTCGGGCCTGGGACTAACGCAGGGAGCGGGGCGGCACTGGAACCTGGTGGGGTGCTCGGGGCCCCTGCGCTTCTCCACGAACCACGCCGGCTCCGGGGCCGCCAGGACGGGGAGGAGCTGTGTGCTGGTGAAGTGCGGCCTCTCTCCAGGATGCTGCCATTCTCCAGCGTCTGTGTGTCTAGGAATTCCCAGTGAGCGTGGAGTGATTTTATTTTCTGCCCCAAATTATGCCCTTTACTAGCTCACCAAAGAGTCCTGGTTAATATTGTCTGAGCTCTTTGAAACAGCAGCACACCTAGAAAAGACCTTCCATCCTTGAAGGAGTTTCAGACGCCGTGCAGCGCAGTTCCAGGAGGAATAAAATGTGTACAACTAAAGGGTAGAAGAGTTTTACATAGTAAGTGCTCTTTGAGTTTAGAGGAGGGAAAGGTTTACATTGGGAAGAGTACCAATAAATTCTCCAGTAATTATTTTGGTATTTAGAGTAGAAAAGATTGCTCACCTAAAAGCCTAATACGAATTATTTTTGCAGTTCCTCCATCTCCATTATTTACGTCTTGCAATTAGGGGAGAAAATATTGGGCATAAAATGTTGAAAGACACTACAGCCAGAAAGTAAAAAATACCACTCAGAATCGTGGCCAGGTTGGGAGTGATAGCTGGGTGAGGGGAGGAAGGAATGGCTCCTGACTGAACGGAGGAGAGTCAATGGTGACATCACGGGTTAGAGACCATTTTACATTTGTTCATTATCGGTCAGTCTAATATAAGTAAAGTGTTTTCATAGAAATAATTCTAGTTTAAGAGTTTGAGTAGAATTTTTTTGAACAAAGTTTGTGGTTTTTTATTTAAATCTTTTGTTCTCTCTTTGAGCTCTTCTCTATATTAATAGCTTCAACTACCTTCATTTAATAAATATTGAAGGACTTTTGACAGTTTTATTTTTCCATTTTTGATTTAATATTTTCAAGTATGTAAAACATTTACATGACCTGAAAGTCAAAATTATATCAAAAGATACATTTACATACTTGTTCTTATCTTTTCCACTCCATTCTTTTCCGCCCTGATAGGTGATCATTTTTACTTGTTTCTGGTTTATCCTTCTTATGACCTTTTTGCAAAAACAAGCAAATATTTTAATGTATGTATTTTTAAGGTTAGATTTATTGAGGTTGCATTTACATACAGTGAGATTTATGTGTTTTAGTGTACTGTTTTATGAATTTTTACCAATCACTCCCTTAGCAGCAAGTGGATAGGATAGGATTTTGAGGTCAGAATGGCAGGCATGACAGTTCTAGGCAGAATGAATGAATGGAATAAGAAGTGTGGATGGTGGGAAATTCAGGAGGAAGACAATTAAGAACAAATTATCTTATAGTTTTGACAGTCGCTAACGTTTTTGAACATCATGTGCCGGCATGTATGTCCGAATGCTTTATGTGTGCTGTCTGCTCTGCATGGTCCTCGCTGCCGCCCTCTGAGATGCGGTGCTGTGATCCGTGTTTGCAGGTGGGAAGCTGAGGTGTGCAGGTGGGAAGGAAGAGCCCAGACAGCCAAGCTCATGACTGGTCAGACTGGTTCACTTTTAACCACTGAACTTTCTAGAATATAAATACAGCTTCTCAGACATTTTAACAGCTGTCACATACCCGTGAGTTCTTTTTTGTCTCTGCTACGTGTTTCTAGTTGCTGTGATTGTGTTTCATATAATATGCCGTCTAGGTCTCTTGGCCGCTTTTCTTTGGAAATTCTGACTTCCTAAGATATATATATATATAATAGAATTACAGCCAGACCTGGTACTCTTAAGTGCTTTCTGCCCACTGAGTGTCAGTGGGACTTCTACTTTCCTAGGAAAATATATTTCAATTAATGTAGCCTTGGTTTAAATTGGCTTCTTTAAAGAGCTGAATGTATACTGTTGGTTCTTGTGGTAGGTCATGATGCCAGCTAAAGCCTCAAGATTCCAATAAATGCTTGTTCACTGGTCAAATGTTATTTTAGTCACATTAATGAGAAATATGCTTGACCTCTAGAGTAACATTGATCACAAATACTCTGTTCAGAAATGTTTGAGCTGTTTTCATGAATAGCTTTGAAACCAGCCCAGCTAAGTCTCGTGTCTTCCGTTGAGACGTTAGCGTGTGTGTTCTCACTCTCGCTGCTGTGAGGTGTCTGTCTGGAGCAGCTCTTGCATCCCAGAGCGAGGTCACCGAGGGCTTGTCGGGGCAGCAGCTAAGAGCCTGCTGCAGCACCCGGCTGCCACCTGGCTGAGGCCGTTCAGGGCCACCGCTGGAGTCACGTGTCGTGTGCCGTGCCTTTGTGCTTCTCCTGCAACACTGATTCTACTCTCATTTTTTGTTTATTTTTCATTCCATCATCAAATCTTAAACCTGTTAGTTAATTGGAATGGTTTTTTTTCTGTTCTCTTATTGAAACTACTCTGTTTTTTGTAGCATTTTTATGTTTTAAAAGTCTGGACGTATGTGTCTTGGTAAACAAATCTCATTGTGCAAATGAATGAAGGAAAGTGATACCATTTGAAATGAAGTGAAGGGGGAGGGTATAGCTCAGTGGTAGAGCATGTGCTTAGCATGCACAAGGTCCTGGGTTCAATCCCCAGTACCTCCACTTAAAAAAAAAAAAAGGAAGCGAAGACATGACTTGGGACTAAATTGTGAAAAGGTTTTTTTCTAATCCTCTTATCACATAATTAGATTATATTTTCTTTGTATATTATAAATGTAATATAAGTCAACATCTTTTATATTCACTCCCATCAGACATCAATTACGTAGATTGACTGTTGAGCACCTGTGTGCCAGGTCCCCTTACTGGGTTTGGAGGTAGGGAGGGTTTAACAGAATGAGAAAAGTAAACAAAATGCTTTCCTTTCTGGAGCTTTCTTCCATTAGTGGGAGATAGGCAATACATAAATAAGGAAAAGCATATGAGATGGTGAAATACTGCACAGAGATGAAAGGATGGGGTATGGGAGGGGCCCCAGTTTTACGCAGAATGAGCAGGGAAGGCATCGTCACACAGAAGTAGCTGTCACAAAAATAATACGGTAGGAAGTATTTGACCCCTTGGAGTTAGAGCTTTTTCAGAATGAGCACTGGTCTCTGATGATGCAGTTGCACTGCTGTCGGTTCTGACATAAAGGGGTGGACGAGCAGTGGGGAGCCTCTCCTCTGCTGTGGGAGGGTCTGCGCGCCCCGGTGTTGGGTGCTGTGGGTGTGAGCGGCCCAGCAGGCTTGAGGCTTACAGAGGGAGGGAGATGAAAAAAGGAAACAGTGGGGAATTTGAGAACACGATAGTCATTTTTATTTTAGAAGTAGTCATGAGGTACCTCCACAATTAAGTGTTGGTAACAGCTTTAGGGTCCAAAAGGCGGGGTCCACCGGAGTGTGACCCCGAGTATTGGTGCACTGCAGTGGTGATGTGGGTTTCCTTTCGTGTCTTACCTCCCCTGACGACTAAGCTTGTGTCTTAAGTAGGGTGTAGTAATAAAATATTTCTTTTTAACCTTATGCCTTTACTGTGTATGCATTCTGTCCATGTTTTTAATGCTAGGTTATAAATATTAATTTAAACATGTAGTCAGCTGGCGTGAATAGCTTCTTCATGATCATGTTAATTTTCAGTTTTGTTGATTTCAACTAGAGTCTTAGGGGAAGTAATGTTTAAAATATCAAACTGTCAACAGATATAAAAGAAACAGTTAAGAGTTTATTTTTAAAGCTGTAGTTGTTTTTAAAGTAGCTGTGCAGTTGAAGAAAGGGGAAGAAGACGGAACCAGAAAATTTTCTTCTCCTTTGGCTGTGTCTTTCTGCCAGCTGTACATGGTGGTGTGAGTACTGGCTGGTAGGAGGAGCTGAGGTTCACTATGTGGTGGTTTACAGCTTTCTCCTCGTCGTCGTCTCCGTGTGCAAAGCAGTGTACTGATTATCTCGGGCTTTGTTAAAGTGAGTGGCAGCATGACCAGCATCTAAATTTCTTCGAGGTCAGTTTGTTCTTGGAATCTAAGCTGCTTTTCCATTAAATGCCAGAATCTGTGTTGGCATATAGAAAAAGAAAAAAATGAAGAGCATTTAGAATTTTAGGCAATTGATGTGGTACAGGCCAGAGTTGTCAAAAGAGCACTCCGATAGATGCCTTCATGAAGAATAGTTTTTAGAATCATATTTATCTTGTTCCTAATAAGAGAGATAATTAAACATTCTACATTTAATTAATCACTAATTATTTGTAATTGTATTGTAAAAGTGAAGACTTAATAGCTGATCTGTTATAATTGTGACAGTTTATTTTAAAGTGTTATGAAACTTGTCAGTTTATTTTAAGGCATTGTCCAAAGCCCTGTATTTTAAATTGCACATTGCATTAGAGGAGCCTCAGATAACAGCATGGGCTACTTAAACTTTCCTCTCACACTTTCTTTCCTTCAGTGGCCTATTGTGAGTGTGTGCTTTTTGAAAAATCCTTTTTAGGCTTAATGGGGCTGTTTGAAAAACGTCGCTTCAGGAAATTCTTGGTGTTTGTTGCCAACTTCGATGAGAAAGACCCCAGAACTTTCGAGGGCATCGACCCTAAGAAGACGGTGATGCGAGAGGTATACAAGAAGTTTGACCTGGGCCAGGACGTTGTAGACTTTACCGGCCACGCCCTGGCGCTTTACAGGACTGATGAGTAAGTTTTCTGGGTTTTACATTTTTATTTTTCTCGGAATTCTCACTGAATTTCCCAGTTCCCCAAAGTGGAAATGCTAAGCAAACAAATGTATATCTGTATAACACTATTAAAGATGAAGTTCTAGCTGCAACTTAGTGTTAGAACCTTTTAAGTAAAATGTGAGGGTATTGAATCCCTTCTTAAAAATCCCTTCTTAAGGAGACTTTAAATTGAACATCAGAATGCAAACCAAAGCCCTTTTCTAATATTTATTTTCTTTTATCCAGCTATTTAGATCAGCCGTGTGTTGAAACCATTAACAGGATTAAACTTTATAGTGAGTCTCTGGCGAGATATGGCAAAAGCCCCTACCTTTACCCACTCTATGGCCTTGGAGAACTGCCACAAGGGTTTGCAAGGTGAGAGCCCACATTCAGCCTGGGACCCCGAACCCCACAGATCCTGAACCTCAGTTTCAGTGGAAGTGCGTGAGATACGGTTGTGAATGATGAGACAAATGTCTGAGTAGTAAGATGGATGCTTTTCATTTTTATTGATGAAATCACGGATCGACAGTTTTCAGAAAAAGTTGAGTTGGATGAATATATATTCCCGTGTAACCAAAACTCCAGTCAGGATGGAGAGCATTGTCCTGGCTGCGGGAGGTCCCTCCCGGCCCCAGCCCCCGCACAGCTGCGTTTGTGACTTCTGTCACGGTAGATGACCTCTGCCTGGTTTTGAAGTCTTTATAAGGGGAATGATATGTCCTCACTTCTGGCTGGCATTTGCCTAACAGTACTTTCGAGATTCATCCGTGTTGATACATATGCTGGTGGTCGTTAAAACCACTGAGCAGTGTTGCGTTATATGCATTATGTGAACATACCACACTGTCGTGTGGATGGACATCTGGGTCATTCTCAGTTTCCGGGTATTATGAATGAAGCCACGGTGAACTCCGTGGAGAAGTGTGTATGGACGTCGATTGTCATTTCTTTTGGGTGCATATCCGGGAGTGGAATTGTGGGCTGATCGGCAGGTGTGTGTTCAGCTTCCTGGCACTCGCTGCCCAGCAGCTTTCTAGAGCGCTTGTAGCACGTTACACACACTCAGCGCCGTGTGAGAATCCTGGTCACTCCAGATCCCTGTCAGCATTTAGTGTTGTCAGTCTTTTAACTTTAACCACTCAGGTGTGTGTGAAATGCTATCTCATTATGTTTTAATTTGCATTTCCTGAGGACCAATATTGACACACCTTTTTGTGAGCTTGTTGGCCATTTGTACAATTTTGTGGTGTGAGGGCTCATTTCTTGTGCACATCTTAAAAGGCTGGGTTGTTTTGGTTTGTAGGCGATCTTGATGTACCCTGGCTGCAAGTCTTCTGTCAGTATGAGTGTTACAGATGTTCCTTCCGGCCTGTGGCTCTGTGGCTTGTCTTTTGATCAGCAGACGTTTTAAATTTTGATAATATATCAAGTTTTTTTTTTAATGTTTAGTGCTTCTTGGGTCCCAAGAAAGCTTTGTCTGCTTCCAGAGCACGAAGATACCCTCCTTCTTTTTCTGAGAAGCTTTATGGTTTAGCTTTGTGTTAAGTCTGTGATTTATCTGGAGATGCTGTTGGGGCGTGAGGCGAGGCTCGAGGTTCGTTTGTTTCTGTACTGATACTCAGTTGCTCCAGCACCATTTGTTGGAGAGACGTCCTTTTCCAGTTGCCCCGGTGTCTTTGTGGAAAATTAGTTGGCCGTAAATACAGGTCTGTTTTGTCCCAGTGATCTATTTATTTTGCCTGTTCCATTACCACACCATCCTGATTACTCTAGTTTTTACAGTAACTCTTGAAATTAGGGAATATAAATTCTCCAACTTTGTTCTTTTTCATAATTGCTTTAACTATTCTAGGTCTTTTGCATTTCTACATACATTTATTTTGTTTTATTTTTCAGCGGGGTAATTAGGTTTATTTTTTTGGTGGCAGTACTGGGGACTGAACCCAGGGCCTCATGCATGCTAAGCATGCACTCTACCACTGAGCTGCACCTTCCCCCTCTACATACATTTTAGAACAGGTTGTCAACTTCTAGAAGAAAAAGTTTGCTGGGATTTTGGTTGGGTTGAGTTACAGCAATTTGGGGAAGAATTGGTAACAGTCTCCTAGCCCGTGACTGTGCGCTCTCCACGTTTTGCGGTTTCCTTTGGCTCAGCAGTGTTTTGTAGCCTCTGTCACAGACGTCTAGCACTTACTTTGTTAGATTTATTCGTGAGGATTCTGTTATTTTGATGCTATCAGTGAAAGCTCCATTTTTATTTAAGTTGTCAGCTGCTTATATACAGAACTACAGTCGATTGTTGTATACAGACCTGATACACTGTGACCTTGCCCATGCTAGTTCTGTTAGCTTTATAGTTGCCTCCTCCTCCGTCTCCTGGGTTTGTGAAGACAAACTTTTCTTCACTGTGTGAGGGAGTCACCCTGTGAAGCTGTCTGGGCCTGTGCAGCTTGCTTTGTGGGAAGGAGTTTGATAGTTACTTCATTTTTTCTTTTCATATTTTATTAAATAACCATTGTGCTTGATCGTTAAGGTCTTTAACCCTTAATGTCACTTGGTTATTCTGTTTATTTATTTAGATAGCTTTGTTGTGGTATAATTCCTGTACAGTGAACTGTATGTATTTCAGACGTATAATTTGACGAATTTTAATAGACGTATACACCTGTGAAATGGCCACCACAATCAAGACAGCTAACATTTCCAGCAGTCCCCAAGAGGTGCACATTTCCAGCTCCTGATTTCTCTCTCCCCACCCCCCCCCCGTAACCATAAGTTTGTTCTCGATGTCCGTGAGTCTGTTTCTCTTTTGTAGGTGAGTTCATCTGTGTACCTTTTTTTCCACATATGAGTGATATCATATGGTATTTTTCTTTCTCCTTCTGGCTGACTTCATGAAGAAGCACAGTCAGGTGTGATCTTTTGGGGTTTCACTGGAAAGCCCGAGGTATCTACCAAGCTCCCCTGACATGGCAGTTTCAAACTGCAAACCATCTGTCCACGTGGCCTGGAGCGAAGTCGCTGCTCAGGTTTTTCTGCCTCTCAGCTGTTGGTGCCGGATTCCTCGGAGTCTCTCTCGTGTGTACAGGCACTTCTGGAGTTAGTTAAGGGTTTGAAGAGATTTTATGATTTGGTCGCGCCTCCTTTTGGAAGATTTCCCCCCACAATTTTAATCTACTTTGACACCTCAAATTCTGTTTTATGGCAGCTTAGATCAGTGAGACTGCAGGTTTTTGCGTCTGCTGTAGCTGCCCCGTGTTACGAGGCCTGGAGTGGCAGTCCTCAGGGGAAGACCCGTACGCGCCACGTAAAGGTCTCTCCCAGCTGCTCCCTTTCCAGTCCCTTCTCTGGTTCCTACTTGGTTTGAGTTGCTCTCCTGATAGGCTTGTTGTTCAGAGCTCTGCTTGCACGCAGGAGGGTTAGATGTACACAAGCAGTTCTCCTGTTGCTGGTTAGTGTTTTTTGGACTTTGACAGTCATAACTGTGAATGTGAGACATCATTTCATGGTTCTGTTTTATGATTGATGCTTTAATGACTTCTAAACCGCTGCCTTCTGGAAGGAAACGCAATACGTCTTGGCTATAACTGGTTAGATCTGACAAGAAGACCTGAGGATCTGGAACGATGATAAACGACTGACTGCGCTTTGAATACTTCTCTAGGCTGAGTGCTATTTATGGGGGCACCTACATGCTGAATAAACCGATCGAAGAAATCATTGTGCAGAATGGAAAAGTGGTTGGTGTGAAGTCTGAAGGAGAGGTAAGCAGCTTGCAATTTATAAAAACGTCATAAAAACGTCATACTCTTATTAAGAGAGCCTTACTGTCTGATAGTACTTACTTCTTGTGAACGCTGGTCCTAGGTTTCAACTATGCTGTTTTCTTTATGGTAGCTTGGTGTTCGCAATGACCGCAGAGTAATTACAGGTGCTGGCTCCCAAAGTTTCATTTAAATTTAGCTTTATTTGTACCACTGTTGGTGGGAATGAGGCTTGGCCAGTATTGACCACTTTATTATTTAGGATTATTAACAAATTATTAAATAATGTTAATAATCATTACTATTAACATTTATCATTTTATTTGGGTTTAGCCATGGAGGTGGCCAGGTGGTGTTTTGAACAGCGTGTTTCAAATTTAAATTGAACATAAATTGTCAGTTTTGTTAAAGTGCACGTTTCTACTCGGTAGGTTTGTGGTGGGCCTGTGTTTTCTTGAAAGCTTTCAGGTGGCGCCAATGCTGTTGGTGCGCAGACTGGACCGTTCACGTTGCATGAACTGTCACCCCTCATGGAAACGGTCTTCATGGGTTCAGACCGTGCGGTCCACACTCACTGCTTGGCCCCGAACCCTGATTGTTGTTGGAGGTCTTCTGTAACTGTCGTGTACTTTCCGCATTCACGTGATAGAGGTTTACCAGAGAGGAGTAAACGTGTCAATCTGATGCCTCAGAGCCCTTTTTATTGCAAGGTTTCATTCCATTCTTCTTTGCTTCACACAACTACTTCCTCTTACGACATTTCAAGCCTTTGATGGAAGGAGGAAGGCTGTGATATAATAACATATAATTTATCTTGCAACTTAAGTTTTACTTAGTATAGTTTTAAAATGAGAATGATTATGGTCCATTTGTAATATTTGTACCACTGACGGACAGTTACACTTTTCACTGAGTGTATTCACATGTAATGACAGTCCTTAAACACAGTTTTGTTTAATCCTAACCACATCCCTTTGTGGTTAGGTAGAGCCAGGATTTGAACCCTGGTCTGCCCAGTTCTAAAACCTACACTTCTGAACACTAGGCAACGCATTTTTCCTAATACTTGAGTAAGATTTAGGATTTGTTCCAGGAGAATTTGTAATCTGTAATTCACCAACACTTAACTTCACGAAGATAACATGAATTTGAAGGACCAGTGGCGCCAGTGTACAGAAGCGTCACTGACCCCGAGTGCCGCAATCTTGAATGTTTGTTGCAGATCGCTCGCTGTAAGCAGCTCATCTGTGACCCCAGCTACGTGAAGGACCGAGTGGAGAAAGTGGGCCAGGTGATCAGAGTGATCTGCATCCTTAGCCACCCCATCAAGAACACCAGCGATGCCAACTCCTGCCAGATCATCATCCCGCAGAACCAGGTCAACCGCAAGTCGGGTGAGCGCTGAAGGGCAGCGGGCGCCTGTGGACGCTTGTTAGACATAATTCACTTTGTGTTTTACCCCCGTATCTGCTCTGTTATGGTGAGGAAACTAGTTTACACTGGAAAACACAGTGTGATGGGTTCTTCCAGCTCACAGAGGCGCCAGGTCCTCGCGTGGGGGTGGACGTGGCGGCCGGGCCCCCCTGGCCTCGCGCCCACCGTGGTGTGGTGGTGCCCACCGCCACGCCGCTGGGGGCCTGTGCTGATGTGCTGACCTGATTTACCTGTTCGGTGTGTTTTTGGAGCCGATGACAGCACTGCTTTTACGTCATCGTTTGTCTACTTCATACTTGTCTTTGACTTTGATTTCTCTGATTAAGGTCAGGGTTTAGCTCTAAAATCGTAATTCCTAATCCGTTTGCTTTAACCGGCTGTTTTCACCCGGGAGCTGCTTCTGTCTTCCTTTCAGTTAGAAGCCCTAAATCTTTTATTCATCAAAGTTCAACTTAAAAGGGGTTGCTGGCTTTTAATGGCTGGTGGAAGCTGTCTGTGTTTCATTTTCTCCACGAAAGAAATGAAGTCACAGGAGATTATTAGTAGGACAGAGGGACTTAAACATCCATCAAGGGCTCCCAAGCGGCCTCTGGACCCGGGAGGGTAAAGGGAGCCCAGCAAGGATCTTCTCTGTGGGAAATCACCTCGCTACTTTGTGCTGTGCAGACACGTAGAACCTGTGAATTGTTAGATGAGCTTGTTCGCCAACTCAAGAATAGCTTAATGCTGTTTGCAGTTTTACATGGTTTAAATCAATGAGAAACCAGTAGTTAAATGAGTCCTTTCCTAGCTATTCAGAACCTTTCTAGACACAGGGTTCAGTGAGGAAGAGCCCCCCAGTGAGCTGTGGCAGAGCTGAGGAGTCTCATTGCCAGGCCCAGGGGCTCACTGCCGCGTACGCCCCTCACCTCCAAAAGGCTGAAAGTCGCTGGGTATTTGCCTGTTGTGTCTAGGGCCCTGCTTCCTCCGCACAGAGCTTAGGCTTAGACGACACTGTCTCTCCAAGCCGTTGGTCTCACCTCGGTGAAAGGCGGCCTTCCCGAGCGCACGCAGGGCCTGCAGTTTCGGGCCCTGTGCTGAGCGGCCTTGCTTGTTTCAGACATCTACGTCTGCATGATCTCCTCCGCACACAACGTGGCTGCGCAGGGCAAGTACATCGCCATCGTCAGCACGACCGTGGAGACCAAGGAGCCCGAGAAGGAAATCAGACCAGCTCTGGAGCTCTTGGAGCCGATAGAGCAGAAGTGAGTGACGCGCTCGTTTGCTTCAGCTGAGACGGACTCTGGCTCTGCAGTGGGGCGCACCCACGGGAGCGGGGGAGGCAGCCGCCATCTCCGCCAGCCTCGCCGTGTGTGCGCGTGCGTGTGCGCGCACGGAGCTCACCTGCTGACTTAATTCTCTCCCCCTCCAGATTCGTTAGCATCAGTGACCTCCTTGTACCAAAAGATCTGGGGACAGAAAGCCAGGTGAGTAGCCGTCTGCAAAGGGTAATTAATTACCAGGCTTTACTGGGGTCGTCCCTTAGTGGCCTCAAGTCTTGTAATTTTCGTTTTCAGATCTTTATTTCCCGCACGTACGATGCGACCACTCACTTCGAGACAACCTGTGATGACATCAAGGATATCTACAAGAGGATGACAGGGTCCGAGTTTGACTTCGAGGAGATGAAGCGCAAGAAAAACGACATCTACGGGGAGGACTAGCAGCAGCGCAGCCGCCGCCATCAGGACAGACGTAAACTTTGGCAGATGACGTGTATTGTATGAGATCAGTGTTGTAAGGCCTGCTTTTGTGATCAGAACTGAGATTGCAGAGCACTGTACCAGTAAATGTTCCTCCCCTTTCTAACATCATGTATTAACTTGTTTTCATGGAGTGGCTATGCAGAATTGGCAGGTGCCCACATTCTGTCCAATTTAACCTATACTGGCTTGATTTTTCTAGTGAAGGATCAGTTTTAAAACATTGTGATACTGATACAGAGAACTCGATACGGCATTTGTATCTTTTAATCAGTGTGTAGCCTTTGCCATTACTGCTTCTGCTGCTCCAGAGCGGACCGCGTGCCACCTGCTACCTGTCCTCCAGACGCGGAGGAGGAAGACTGGAATTGACTTCTCCATCACTGGGGACAGCATCCCCCACCACGCCCGTCCCCTTACGTGTCTGTCAAGTATTACGGCAGTGCCCAGGCAGCACGGCCCGACTCTGCTTTACGTGGGCCTCAAATTCTAACGAACTCCAGCATCTGAGTCATTTTGGAGGGAGCCTGTGTGCGGTGTTTAACCTAGTGAGATTGATGAGAGCAGAGGGAGAGACCCACCATACAGCAGGTAAACCTAGAAGCTTCTTTGGTATCCCAGGTGTGGCCTCTTCCACGGACCAAGCTGCAACGCAGTATTGACTTGACAGAGCCCCCACTCCAGCGGTGTCTGTACTGCAAAATAAAGCCCCCCCTGGAAACCAGCTTCCTCGTGTCGGTGTGTCGTGTCCTGGCGGGCAGAGCTGTAGGTACTGTGCCGGCGCGGGCCCTGGGGGCCCGTCCCCGGGTGCGCAGGCGGCCGTGCTGGTGCTTCAGAGCCCCGTCCTTCCCGCAGGTGACGCTGTTGGGTGGGACAGGTGCTTGACTGCTTTCATTTAATTTAAACTGTGGTTAGAAATGGTTTTTACTGGTACCTCCTGTGGCCTTGACAGTTAAAGCCTCGCCGTGTATGCCGTCACTTAGCTCCGAGGAACGAGGGGCGTCTCAGCTGCATTCTCTTCGTCTGAATGCTGAGTCTTACAGTTGAGCCTGACAGACAGACTAGGCAGGTGGTCTGTCCCAGGAATTGGGGTGTTAACAGCTAGCATCACTCAGTGATGACCTCAGCTCAGTTCTCAGTCTCACGCTCCTTTTTTGGCCAGAGGATTCTTTCTTTGTTGTGGGAGCTGCCCTGTACCCTGGATGCACCTCCCTGGCGTGATGACCCAGAGTCTTCCAGGGCACAGGCTCACCCGCTTGAAAACCACTGCTTGTCTGCGTAAGATTGAGACTCCAGCCGGCCCTTCCCCTCGCCCTGTACTCATGCCGTGAGCTGCTGGCGCAGGCAGAGGCACAGGCTGGGTAAGCAGCACGTACAAAGAGCAGCAGGGCCTTCTCACGTTCTCCAGGCAGCTTATTTACTGAACAGCTACTATTTCCGTGCCAGGCCAGCGAGGTACGAAGGTGAGGAGCCTTCAGTTCCGGAAGAGGTGGCCTCTTGGGCTCTTCAGCAGGGGTCGCACGAGTGTGTCAGGCAGGCAGCACCTGGCAGGTGACAGGTGCCTGCCAACGTGCGTTTCCTTCCCCTTAGTAATTGAGCTCAGGGTACCAAGGATGGTGACGGTCCTCTTACTAGATTCTTAAACGAGCGGGCTTCTACACAAGCGCTAATGTAAAAATAATTAAAACTATTAGCTTCCTCCTCCTGAGACAATCACAGAACTAGTGCAGCCAGCACGCCCGGCTGAGGAGAGGGTGAGCAAAGCAGGAAAAAGGCTTTGAGAGACGTTTCTGTACAGGTCTCATGTGACCCCGTGGAGGGCCAGGTGCGAAGTCCAGTAACTGTCCTGTCGCTGCTGCAGGGACACCTCGCCCTGCAAGGGGACGCCCTGGGCAGGTCAGTGGGCCTAGGCTGACAGATCGAGGCCAAAGTGAGGTAAGTGTTCGGATTCCTCTGGAAGCTAGTCCTTCCGCAAAATGGCCTTCCAAATTTAAACTATAGAACGTTCTCTACAAATTTAATTTTTGCTATGAAGTCAATTGCAGATGCATATGAATGATTTTTAGTTGTCTTTTATTAAAAAAAGAAACAAATTAGTTACAAAAACCTTTGTTCCAAACAGATACTATGTATCTTACAAATGTTTCTGCTTAGTTTTAAGGACTACTGTAGAAATGATTTCTAATATAAATAAGTGATTATTTCTTCCTCAGCTGATTTTGTAGTGTACTAGCTACAAAAACTAAGTGAAAAATTTGTACCATTTAGGAAGAAAAAGTGTCACTTTATGTAGTGTTGCTTGAATAACAACAAATAAAACCATTTAGGAATATAGTTTTTACACTGGTGTTGGAACCTGTAAAACAGTGTAACGTGCATTACATGTGCCGTTCTGACCTTCACATGCAAGAACAAAGCTACTGATTAAAACGGGTTTTTTTGTTTTTGCTACAGTTGAGTACATTTGTAAAATTCTTATTTTTAACATTAAGTTCAATTAAAAGCTTTGAAGGCATACTGTTCAAAGTGAGAATAATTTAGAACAATGGCAATACTGCAGCCCAGAGCTGCTGGGGACCAGGCCAGACGTCCCAGCGACGTGAAGATGGAGGAGAGCCTTCCCGCACGCTGCAGAGCACTGATCTGAAGTTCTGTGTACCTCAGAGGTTTTCAGGGAAAAGGGAAAATACTAATTTCTTGTTGGCATCAACGATGTCTACGTAAGCTACAGTTGAATTACCTGGTAAGTACAAAACTTGACAATAATTCCATCTTTAAAACCAAATAACCAGGAAGTATCTCATCAGCAGGAGGCTGCCTAAGGGGGAAACAAGTGTCCGCGTCTGGGTCACAGCAGCTCCTGGCCTGGCGTCAGACGGCCTGCAGGTGACACGGACGTCGTTCCCAAAGTAGGTCAGTTACCTCACGAGTGACACTTGAGTGATGTGATGCCATTTATGCCAGACCAGCAGCAGCTCCACCCCTAAGTAAGCAAACACTTGAGATCTGCAGCCTGATGTGTAAGGTGCAAGACAGTTGTCGCACAGCTGGTCGCTCACGGGTGACGTTACCTGCTGACAGTCCCTTGCTGGGAGTGAGGGCTGGGTCCTTACCAGTAGCTACTCCTAAATGGAGCGGCTACTTTTTGTATATTTTCAACAAAGTCATTTACGTCTGTGATGAGGATGCCACTATTTTCAAAGATTTCTCTGGAGACCACAGGCTTTTCTGTAAAAAAAAAAAATCGGTGAAAAATTCATCTACGTACAAAGTAGCAGAATCCCTTTAATTAAAAAACCAAAAGACAAAAAAACCCACCCTCATGCACGTGAGGGGAATTCCAAAGCAGCCACCGCCCCAAGAGCGGGGAAGGGGGGCTGCAGACCTGAGCAGTGACAGCTAGTCATTCCTTAAGGCGTCCTCAGAAGCCTGGAGCAGAGGGCTCCTAGCGAGACAGACCCCACGCTGCCTCCCGCCCCGCCGCGTGCGGTGCCAGGACACGCCGGGTCTGAGCCTGTTCGGCTGCCAACTGGGGCAGGTCCGCACGTCTTACGGTGCCCAGGGGCTCCACGCGGAGGACGTTCTCGAGCGGACCTACTGTGGCGTCGGCTGGTTGGATTTACCTGTTAGGAAGACGGCAAACCTGGCGTGGACATGCTGAACTTGCAGGCTTAGCAGGCACTTCAGGGGCTCGGTGTTTGCTGACGACCGAGAGTCACACTGGTGGTAGGGGAGTGGCTCGGTGATGTCCGCGCTCTGGCACGACTTCAGGATCAGGCTCTTCCTGTGTGCGGTCGGGTCCACCCTGGAGGAGGCGCGCAGACGCGCAGGGCAGGCCCGGCGTGGGAAAGGTACCTTCGTTTTCAGTTTTATTCCTACACTTTCCCTAGACGTCGCTGCTGTCCCGCCGAGTTCCCGCACAACATCGCAGGCGCGCCTACTCCTCCTCAGGTAAAATACGGGGGCCTCGTCCCACAGCAGGGGCCCTACGGTCACCTGCCACCGCGTCCACCCCTGCCGCTTGGCAGGCGTTTCTGACTAGTGGCCCTCCTCCTGCCTCGCCCCACAGCAGCGCCCCAAACCTTACGCTGTCTTCAGAAGCTCTACACTTAACTGTTGGTCAGAGTCACCGATTTCTTGGAAAAAAAGTAAGAACAAGATTTAAACTGAGGTGGAAAAGAACAAGGAATTCTAGCTGTTACATGATTTTAATGAAATTGGTGACTGACCGTTTTTCCTTCCAGAGGAAAATGTTCCCGGGACTTCTCCCCCTCCGCCCTCGGTTCCGTCTCGCGCCAGCACGCGCACCTGGCTGGAGGGAGCCCCGCCCCACCCCGTCCCACAGCCCGTCACGAGCGCTAGCCACCCCCGAGCTTCCCTCCAGGCTTCGTCCTGTGTGCACGGAAAGGCCTAAGGTTGGCGCCACGCTGTACGGAGGTTTTACTTCTATTACTGAGTAGACGTCTGTATGTGCTTCTACTGGGTTAAGCTCCGTGTGAGGTCGCTTTGCATCCCTTTAAAGGGCTGCGTCTCCGCTTAGCCCTGTGCTCGCCCAGAGGTGGACCTGAGGCTGCTGCTGTCTTTACCGATCCCCAGCCCTGGCTATAAACGTCTCTAGAAACAGTGGTTTTTAAAAGCTAGGTTTTTTGGTTTTAGTTTTAGATAAATTCCTCCCCCACAAAGGTCAAAATAATATGGCGAGTTTTCTGAAAAGTTATTATTATCCAAGACTGGCAGGCTCTGAAGAGCAGACTCGGGTCCGAGGGCGACAGAAGGCCGTGCCCCCCCCCAACCCAGGCACGCGGGGGCCGCCTCCTCCCCTTAGTCCTGAGGGCCGACCCTTCCCCCCCACCCCAGGCGCTGCCTTGAGCCCCTCCCTCGCTGGAGCCCCAGCACCAAAGCAGGAGCGGCCGCCAGGTCAGGGAGGGGCCTGCCGCGTGGACGGCCAGCCTCCCAGCCCTCGTCCCTGTACTGCCGACACCCGTGGGGCCCAAAGTGGTCCTGTGACTCATGTCCCCTCCTCTGTAGACCTCCCTGGGTCTCGCACCCCTGTCCCCTAGCAGCCAGCAGGCCTTTTCAGCCAAAGAACCAATCAAAACGCCGCGAAAACCCCACTCACACTTCTAAGAAGGCTCGCCTACTGACAGGCTACTGTTTAAGAGTGAAAATTAAGGATACGCGTGTTTCATGCATCTTGTAACTCTGGCAACTTAAAATATGAGTAACTCAATTTTTAACAGACAGTAGAGCCTGAACTGACGACACTTCAGGGCTCCAGCGCCAGTGTTGCGCGGGCGCAGACAGTGCTACTCAAAGAAGGCGCCTCAAACTCATGGTTACGGTTACAACTCGCGCTTCCTCCACCGCAAGCCCTGCTTTAAGAACAACCCAGACGCCTGTCAACGGACCTATACACCGAGCGCAGCAGCCTCGCTGCCGTGAAGGCCTTACCTCACGTCTTCTCTCAGCTTCTTAGTTTCCCTGTAGTGAAGCAGCCACTTCCACTTCCCATTTCCATTTAGTTTCTCCAGGATTTTGACAATTTCCTTCAGTTGAACTACAGAATAAAGTTAAGTTTGACAAAAGATGTGTTTTAGAATTTGGGGCTTGTCTGCTCACAGTCCAGTCACCGCTACTTGCGAGTA